TTCTTTAAAGAAAATACAAAGACTTTAACAGCCTTATTTAAGTCACTGATAAAAACCTTAGTTATATAGACGAATAAAAAGAAGTCATATAATTGAGGCAATCATCAGTAAATATTGTATCTTGGAACTATAGTGTTGATCAATACTGACTGGAAGAAATGTTGATAACTATATTCTAGGATGAACATTAGAGCCCACATATTTGGTCTTCATAATTAAAGACAAAAACCATAGATTTTTAAACACATATACTTTTGGAAACTCTATGATTATGGAGATGCCCAATCAGAAGATATAGCCTAGACAGGCTCCCACTATAACCATGCAGAGAGTTCAAAGGAAAATCTAAACCAATGCTAACATATCCCTTAGAAGTAAATGATTTTACTCAATACACGAGAAAAGTCTAATTAAAAAGCCAATATCATATCTTGAGCATAGCCCCAAATGACTAAAAATAATAAAGTGTTCATAAGAGATTTAAATTTATGCTCTAAATTGAACTAATAAGAAACTAATTGCTATGCTCTAATTCAAGGCTATTGAAATGGCAAAACATGTAGTTTATGACAAGGTAAGTTATCTTTTCTCCCACTACTACTTACTAACGAATCTTCAGATGTCATTGAGTAGGCAGTTGCTGTTGCCCCTACTCGGGCTCATAAATTAAGTCTGGGCCCTGGATTGAAATCAATAATGCCGGTAGATGGTTGATGGCATGGGGAGACTCTGCAGTCATTTATTTGTGTCCTACTTTACAGATGAATTAAAACATATTTCAGTAACTGATAGAACTAAAACAATTCTACCATTTTTCTACATGGTATATCTTAAAGATTTTTCTAAAATGAAGATAATATGGACCATCAAAAACCATCATGAAATTAAATGAAACAATCTAATGCCATATGTAAATGTTACTTCTCTGCATAAAAGACCATGAAATAATGAATGATCATTGAGATATGAGCAACCAAATCCACTGTGAGAAGCAGCTGGCTGGCTAAACATAACATACCGAGCAAACAGTTCCAAGCACCAGCAGCATGGCAAATACTTGTAAGCACAGCACTCAAGGGGTTGAGACAGGATGCAGCCTGAGTAGGCAACATATTGACATACTCTTTCAAAAAGCAAATTTCACCTATGCCAGGACATTATGTAGTTATATACAATATATGTCAACTTTACAGAGTATATGCACATTATATGTCAGATGCAGCGGGTAACTGTGCTATAGACAACCTCCAGTTTCACAGGAGTTTTTTTTCCTGTTTTTTTCTTTGTATTTTTTGTTACTTAAAATAAACCCATATAATTCTACTTTAAATCAAAGCCAACCAACCAACCAAACAACAACAAAACCAAACAGTTTCATTCTCAAATGAAACAGGGTCATACTCAAGTGCTCTGGGCCTGTTTTAGAAACATAGATACAAATTTTAACCTCCTCTAACTTGACTTTACCATATTGGCAGAGAATTTCCACCATCTCAAACAATTTAGAACAGTATTCTACAAACAAGTAAATTTAATCTTCTGAAATTTACATTGCTTCATTATTGTGTCTGCTCTGGGAATTTGTTTTCAAACACATGTACTTTTATTATGTAGAATTTTCTCCTATACACCCTTATACCAGTTTTGAATAAAATACAGTTTTATAAACTGCTGTTAGACTTCTGATAGAAACAATGTTCAACATGGGTCTGACCTGAAAGCCTCCTTCCTTTAGTATCCCTTTCATAGTACCAGAGGGTTCTATACAAGTTTTCAGTGGGAAAGCAATCTATATTCCTACCCAACTGTGGCACCTATGAACAACCATCTCTAGAAAAGCAAAATATTACCAAAGCTGCAATAATGACACTCATATCTTGGCAGCTACCAACTGCTGTCTAATTAGACTTAAAGGCCCACTCAACAAGAGGGAAATCATGCCTGGTACTGGAAACCTAGCCAACTGCCCAGGATAATGAAGTCATCATGAGTCTTAGAGAAAAACCTACTATTGTCAAAGACTAGCATGATTCCTAACTACATTGTAAAACTTACCTTATAATTATAGATATGATCTCTCATCTCTCACCAAAGAAGCTTCTTTTTGCTGCGTGCTGAGATTGTTACAGAAATGCCCAACTGGTCGAAATCAGAGATCAACTGATTGCATGGTACCAAGCTCCAGTGGCTCTATCTACAGGACAACTGTTTCACAAAAGACTGAGGATGGCAGTGAGATGAATCTAATGCTTAGAACAAGTGAAGGGATGTAGGATCCATCTTTTCATTTCTCTTTGATGCACACTTTTATTAAAATGGAAGTTGTCAGTGCCGGAAGGATTTGCATAAGGATTTGATATTTTTAAAACACCACTTCACAAGCAAATGGAATTTTAATGTTCAAAGTAACTTCTAGTAATTCCATAAAGTAATAATTTGCATTCACTTTCAGCTTGTCAAAATATAATATCCTCGCAACTATGTACTGTCAAGGCACATCTGAAAACAGTGTTTTTTTTTATTTTTTATTTTGTTTCCAGGATCAGAGATAGTTTTAAAGCTTCCATAAATTCAAGCAAGAAGAAGAGGTTAATTCATCAGGATGACTAAAACCCACAGTAAGCACTGTGAAAGAAGAGGCTAAGAAATATTCCAAGGAGCAATTATATTAGATTGTGTCTTTGAATCATTTCAAATTTATCATATTTTAAGTGCCATTAAATATTCTTTTCTGATTGTAAGAACTTTGTAAATGACAGATAGTTTATGAAGAACAAATTAACAGCACCCCTGAGACACTTCATATAACTGTCAATTCTTCCTCTATTACCCCATCCAACTTAACATAATGGACAGCATTGTAAAATGGAAGCTGTGTGCCTTGGTATGAAGCTGAAGTTTTGGGCTTGTAAGGTTTAAATTTGATCATTGATGCCTTTATTTTTGTTAAGATCAATTGAATACATTTGGTCTTCAAAGTTTCATGTTTTACTTCTGGGCAAAAGTTATCTTTTAAATATTCTTTTCTTGTACTTTATGTTCCTTTACTTTCCCACTCTCCTTTCATCCTTCCCTCACTCCATCCCTCCCTCCCTCCTTTCCTTCCACCATTTCTTTTATTTTTTATTTAGGTCTTTATTTCTGTTCAGGAGCAGTGTCTGTTTCCTCTTCCTCCAACCTAGTCTCCTATACTGATATGAACTTAAGTATTTGTGTGTAATCACTGTTTGAAGTAGGTAGACCATCCGTATATATACCATCCTTACCTTGATACTATTATTGGTCTGAGATATATGATGCAGGGTAGAAACAGGTATATTTTTCATCTGTAAAACTTTTTTTTTTTGGTTTTTCGAAACAGGGTTTCTCTGTGTAGCTTTGTGCCTTTCCTGGAACTCGATTTGGAGACTTTTTTTTTATATGAAACTTTTCTGTGAGTCCTGTATTTTGTTTTTTCACAAGGGCAGAAGAATTGGTAGTCTCATACATCTTCCTATGCTTAAGTTAAATGAGAAATTTCTTTTTTATCTAAATTTATTTTTAACTTTTAATTTTCCAGGTTTTTGACATAAGCCTTTAATATTGTAGTACTGATTGATCTTGAACTCACAGTATTCCTACCTCAGTTTCTTGAGTACTAGGCTTACAGGTATGCACCTCCAATATCCATAACAGATGTCTTATTTTCCCACTAATCCTTATTTCCATACTCTTTTTTGTCCTAAGTTTAGGTGTATAGACAAAAGTAGATAATGCAAGTGTTTCATTTCAACATCAAACAACAGAAAAGAAGTACACACATTTGTACGTGAAATTTTGATGCAGACCAAAGATTATAAACAGAGAGAAAAGACAGCTAGAAATGTGGGCAAGAGTTTCAAGAGAAGGCTACCTGCACTACACAAATACAGAACACTGAAGAAATGGCTACTAGGACTTAGGAGGGGAAAGAGCAGAAGTAACCCAGTTTTAACTGTAAATTTACTTTACAGGCACCTGCATATGCACTGTATCACTAAACAAAGCATAAGCATTCATAAAGGTACATCTTCAGGCATCAGACATTATATGCAACTTTTTCCTTTTTCATACATTCATATGATATGTTTTGACCAAATTCCTCCTATTTCCTCCCCTGCAGTTCCTTTCTACACATGCCCGGACACTTGGACAGGTTTCTCTTCCATTTATGTGTTCTCTGTTTTTAAAGCTCACCAAGTCCACTTAGTTTTGCCTTATGTGCATGGATATGGGACAATTTATAGATAGTGTTTTAGCATCTGCATGCCCCAAAAGAAGTGTCTCTCACTCACCTAGAAACCATTAACTGTCAATGTCTCTTCAGCTAGGGATTGGACTTCATGATCTCTTCCCCATCTGTGCTGTCAGTGAGTCTGGCTTGATTGAAAGTTTTGTGCCTGCAGTCACAGCTGACCGTAGTTCACAAGTGCAGTGGTGGTGTCATGTCCAACAAATATTTCATTTCAGACACTGACTGCCTCTGACTCATAATTCTTCCATGCTTCTTTCATGACAATCCCAGGGGCTTGGGGGTAAAGATCTGATAGAGTCATGTAGAGCTGATCACTTCACTGTCTCTTATTTTCTACACCGAGCTTGACCAATTGTGGAACTCTGTATTAATCACCATCTCCTTCCAAAAGAAATGTCTCTGATGAGGGTTGAGAGTTGCACTAATCTATGGGTATGGTTAAAGGCACTTGCCAACAAGTTAGATGACCTAAGTTCAATGCCCAGATTCTATATAGTCAGAGGTTAGGTCAGAAGATAGGCATACAAAAATACATAATTTAAAAAAGTAAAAAAGAAGGCAGAGTATAACCCTTGAATATGTTAAAATTTTCATAAAGGACACTAAACAAATATGAACAGAATCCAAGTAGTATACAATATGTTATATAAAATATAAGAGTTTAACAAATTTTAAGATGATATTCACTTTCATCCCCAAAACACAACAAAATAGACTCAATGTTTACCTTATACACTTAAAAATCCACAGAACAGCTTAGAAGCCCCAGGAGCTCATGATGCTGTCTTCCCATGTCACTCTTCAATTCCTATAAATAAACAGAAGAAAAAATTATATTCAGAACAATATATAACTGTGTACAATGATGGTGATTAGCCATAAAATTTTATTATCATTCTACACTGCCACTTAAAAAGTGCTTCAAAGTGTATTGCTGTTATTATGGCTTTTGTTAAATTGCACAATATAGCAATAGAAATTATGTCTGTCTGAGACTTCCAAGACACTCAAATACAGTCCAGATTATAAAGCACCACAAAGAAAATCCACATTCAATTACATGTATTTTCTTAATAGAGGGTGTTGTACTACAAAAACAAGCATTTGTAATTGAGGTGTTTTCTTACTCTACATACATTACTATATAAATATTTTTCTACATGAAGCAGAGGGATTTGGCTCCTTGTTTAGGTTTTAGAATGATTACTTTAACTAGATTTTTATCAAGATTTTAATTCATATCTCATAATTTCTCTGTACAAGATACATAAGAATGAAAATAATAGTCATCGTCTTAGCAATTAATTCACTTGGTAATATATACCTAGCATATGAGTTTATTAGACAGATGGCTCTTATTCCCTTTAGTTGTGAATCTCCTATAGGAAATTATGGAATGTCAAGTAAGTATAACTGGTAAGATGAAATGATAGACAGTAATCTGCAGTGAGACTCCAATAATAATTCAGATTTAGATTTTAATTTTTTATAGGAGCAACTATTTAAAAATACTTGCTAAAAGCAAATTAAAATGATAATTAAGATGCATGGGGCTTTGTTGTTGCCTTGTGTTACTTCTGGACCTCCATTCATCTGTGACCCCAATGCTGGCAGCAAGGACTGGGGAGAGAGTTGTATCCAAAGTGTTTGCTGGTTGTCCAGCTATTTGCCAAAACAGCAAGTTCCAACAAGGTTCTCTGAGAGACTGTCTCAAAAAATCAGGTGGTATCAGTAAAGAAAACACTCAGCATCCATCTCCTACATTTACACGGGCAGCTGGATTCTGGGGCGATGGTTCAGTGAGTGAGAGGTAATGTGCTTGCTGACAAGCATGAGGAACTCCGTTTGCATGCCTGTTTCTTCTAAGAATGAGGTATGTGCACAACACTTTCCAATAGTGTTATTGTGTGATGTATATCAGCACAAAAACTCTAAGTGGCAGTTTAGATGCTCCAAAAGTAAAAACAATAAAAGTTTGTTACCGTATTTAAAGATCACAGAGCTATGTGTGGTGGCACACAACTTTAACACCCAACACTGAGATGGCTTTGGTGAGAGGTTTACGAGTTTGAGGCAAACCTGTGACACATAATCAAATCTTGTCAAAAATATATAAAACAAAATAAAAATTATATTTGACATCTTTATTGTAGATGGAATGTATATTGTGTTTGCAATTTGCTGTCATATTTTAACTTTTAGTAAGCAATCATTTTAATTTAGAGACATTATTGTTTGACAGATATGAAAAATAGATTGTGGCAATAAAATAAATAATAAAAATGCAAAAGAAGCAGTCAGACCACAGGCATTAAACAAAAATGAAGTTACCAACACATACATTTTAGAAGAGAAAGAAAAAACCAGATCAGATACATTGACAAGACTGAAACAAACATGGGTGTTTGTAGGGTGGTTTCTGAGTGGCAGTTGAGGAGTCTCAGCAGAAATAACTTCAGTTTCACTGGGCTGACAATAGAATGTATGAGCAACCAAATCTCAAACTATGATTCTCTAGCAGTAAACCAAAGTTTGAAGCAATGTTGCAACAGTCTGCTTTACAGGATAATGAGCAGGATGAGAAGCCTATCCAGCAGGCAGGACTTGGTCATGTTATACATGCATTAGTTCTTTCCCACTAAAATGATTTCAAGATAAAGGAGATGGGCATTGGCAATCAAAAGTACATCTTCAGAGTAAAGAAGAGGAAAAATATGAAAATCTAGTTTAATAAGAATTGGAGGATATAGTTTAATTGAGTTGGTTTAAGAAACACAACAAGACTAAACAGAATTATGCACTTAGAATTTTGATAGAAATAAACAATTCAAAGTCAAGGATAATATTTTTGAATACAAAAAGATGGTCATTTAGTAGTCAGAAAATACATCTGAGACATATATAAAGTATGTCTGGGGCCTGTGTTGAGACACTTTGCTCAGCCTTGTGTAGGGAGGAGGGAACTGGACCTGGTTAGGCTGAGTCTACCAGGCTTTTTTATAAAAAAAGAATAAATGTTCCATCCTTTCACTTAAAAAAAATATGCCCAAATACGTAGCATGGCCAACAAAGTCACACTTGAATTAGTCCCTTATAAAGGAAACTATGGATAGCCAATTTCACAATCAGGATCTTGCTGTAGTGATCATGATAAAAAATAACATTAAAGGGGAGTGATAGTAAGGCTCTGCCAATAACTGAAGAATTAATAGTTTTCAAATTGTAGTTAATCCAGACTTGGCTACTATTCAAACAAAGAAGATCCTATTCAGGAGTCTATAGAGTTGTACAATTGGATTTATATAATCAAAACTATTATTTTATTTCTTGAAGATGATGTGTAGAGTAATAATTACAGATAAGAAAAATGTCACATTACTCAAAATGTAGTGAATTAATCTCTTATGTTTGTGGGCATATGTTCAAGAATCTTTGAAAACACATGAGAAATAATGATCTCCCTTCTCTTTTAAAAGGGAAAACAAATATTGCAATTGACTGGCCCTAGGTAAAGAGCCTACAGCTATACATTTTCATCTATACATTTACAACTGATTCAGAAGGAAACATAAAAATTTGTGTTTTGAATGAATGGACTTAAAACAAAACCCCCAAACACTCTTTTTTTTTTCCTACAAATAAATCTAACTTTTCTCAGACATTTTTTCAAGATAGGAAAGCTAGAAAAATTTTATTTTTCATAACAAAAATATACTCTGGCCTCTTCTCTCAAAAGTTGAGAATTACCTTATTATTGACATTTTTGTCACCATATTTATATTCTTGCACAGTAGGGTAGGGCATACACAGAAAGAATGAAGTTTCATAGTTTATGATGGAAAAACATTGTGAGCAGTACATTCCCGGGATGATGGAGGAAGGCTAACTGTGAGCAGTGCATTCCTGGGATGATGGAGGAAGGCTAACTGTGAGCAGTGCATTCTTGGGATGATGGAGGAAGGCTAACTGTGAGCAGTGCATTCCTGGGATGATGGAGGAAGGCTAACTGTGAGCAGTGCATTTCTGGGATGATGGAGGAAGGTTCACAATACAGCAGTCTCTAAGGAGCATTTGACTAGATTGCAGTACCACAAGAGGAGGTACACTGACAATCGACTTAGATTTCTTCTGAGAGAAACAATGCCTCCACCTATGCTGGGGATAGACAGCTCGCTTGGTGACAAATGAGTGGTTAGACGGTGTCTGCATCTTCTCTACCTTTGTTTATTTTCTTTTTAGACCCAATAATTTGAAAAGGAGAAATGATGACCACTGTATGAGCTATCTATGCTCTTCACTGTTTTATAAACAATATTTCAGGGTCAGCAAGATGCCTGAGTGGGTGAAGTCCCCTGCCACCACACCTCTTGACCTGAATTAGATCTCAGGCCTCATGAGGTGGAGGGAGAGAACTGACCACAGCAGGTTGTCTTCTAATCTCCACTTGTGGGCTATGGCATGTGTTCACCTGCACACCCACACACATACACACCCACACCAACACAGGAGGGCTCAAAATAAATAAAATACAAATGAAACAAAACATCATTTAGTTTATTCAGTATGAGTTAAGTCATAGGGAATGTTACAGATCACCCTACTATCTGAAGCACATAATATTATCCCATAATTATCTCAAGATGACATATCATACAGTCAACATCATCTCCATAGTACCATGGGTAGATAGCTATGGTCAGGAAACTGGAAGGAATAAGTAGGAAATTGAATATAATGGTGCTTAACCAAGTTTGAAACCTATAATCAGAGCAGCAGACCAGACACAGATGATTTCATGTTTTATTATCAACATTTCACAGTTATTAAACAAGAGGGAAATTCCGAATGAAAGCTTTCCATTTCTTGTGGTTGGTGCTTTGACCCTGTCTTAAAAGGATGGTATTAAAATGCAAGGCAGTCTAGTTCTCTAATTAATGCTAAACTAGAAGATTCATAAAAATCTAATATTTTAAACAAGTAACATTCACATAAAATTAAAAGATTTAATTAATATGATATTTCTAGCAAATTGATGTCATAGAAGTAATATTTCCTCAGGACGTAAATATTCAAAATTATTTTTCATTAAGATAGATAAAATTGAATATACCATTACTTTCTTCTTAATTCTAGTAAACCAGTTAAGTAATTTTCAACCTACACCACAAAATAACTAGTCTAATACTAAAAATTAAAATATATAATTTATAATTTTGGTGAATCAACCCAGCGATATTACTTATCTACAACTACAGATCAAAAGGAAGATAGAAGAGAGAAGAAAGTACACTCACGTGTTTTGATTAAGTTATTCACTAGAAATTTTAATATTGAAAGCAAATATTTCAAAAAAGTTTAGAAAAGTCCAGTGACAGTACTGATTAATTCTCTCTACAGTTTCCACTTAAAGCACATTGCCAGAAGCCTATTGAAAGAGACTCTTGCACTTTTACAATACCCAATTCTACTTTAGCATGAAATGCACACTGCCTGTTCTTCAATAGAAAAAAAAAGGGAAACCTCAAAACAGGCATTTTTTTTATGCTTTATTTCAAGTTGCCTGGTTTTTTAACTGCTTTATTTGGGGACTCCCAGCTGAGCGATGAGGACTTCACTCCAGACTGCTTTGGTGGCATACACTTTCTTTGTTCATGACTTTCTTAGAGATACACCTGCTAAGGATATCCATATTTTTATTCGCTTTAATCTTTCAAAACCCTAGAGTTGGATGCAATGCACTGGTGTCTTTTTATTAGGTCAATCAAGTTAAAACTTTTTATTCTGCTTAAAGTTTTGAAAGTTAAAATT